ATTTCAGTCAATCATTAAATCAATATTGATTACTTCAACCCACTCTAGTCCAGAAATGTGATGTTATTTCTAAACCAAATGAAATAATTCTCTTAAGATAGTTTATATTAAATTTTAGAGAGCCGAAGAGTCACCACAGTGTCATTGCTTCTTGACAGTTTTGTAATCGGATGAGATTTCTATTGGTAGAATATACAAGGGATATATTTGAACATGGGCCTTCCTGGGATTTGCTATCACCACAGTTTCTGTCACATTGAGTTACCAGGATCTAGACATTTCATTTTACTTATAAATTCCAAATTCATTATCTTTATTATCTATTCCTTCAAAGAAAAATGAAACACAGATATGACATGTGAGAGTTGATGAGTCAGTGCAAGGTCTAAACCTTAAAAATAAAAATGTCATAAAATTGTTTTTTATGTCTCATGTTTTTTCTTCAACTTTACATAGGTATATATCAGAACAATGATATGTGGATGTAAATTTATTTAAATTAATTGCACAATCACAAACATTTACTTTATGGTAGATAAAAAGACCTTACAACTGACCATGAACAGAGCTCAAATGCAGAATATTCTTGAATGCATAATTACATCCCATGAGTGCTATGAGAATTAATGAGTTAAAAGTGATTTGAAATATTTTGATGAGAAATGCCATTAAGTTCTTTATAATCTCAACTTGTTAATTAAATTTCTCAAGGAATATCATTTTATTACTGTCAAATTCAAGTACAGGGTATCCCTCCAATATGACCTATGGTATAGAATTAAAGCTTTTACTTCTGGAAATTATAAAGACAGTAATGAGTGTTTTGTTTTTTTTTTCAAAGTTAAATATATGATCAAAAGCTGAAAAAAGGGCCTTTCTTTACCCAGGAAAAAAAATAATTTTAATCCATTTTAGGACATGGACCTTATCTGAGATGAGGCTGCTAAAATATCAAAATAAATAAAGATAATCGAATACAGTACTTAACAATTTACAAAACACCAGTGAAAAAATAATTTCTAGGTAGAAACTGAACAAATGCCTGGTATTAAACTCAGCTTAAGTAACTGATGTGCAAACATGAAATTTCTGTGGTTAAATAGAAGAGATCTATAGGGAGGAAGTAGTTATTAAAACCTCTGTGAAAAAGACATTTCCACATTTGAAAATATATATCAGGTAAATAATCAGTTTCTTTGTGGTGTTTTCAACCCAAGACACATTTATATGAATGGCACATTCAATGAACATATATATTGTAATTTTATAAAATATATGAGACAGCTATAAATTAGTAGTATCAGTACTAATTTTCATGATTCATAGAATTTAGAATTCTGTTAGGTAATAATATGAGGTTATATCATTTAATGAGTTTCTTCTTTAATTTCTTCACTAAGAGATATTTCAAGTTCTCTATTAAAAAATCACGAAAACAACATCATCCATCAAGTCAAAAATCTATATAAAATTAACATTATCATTTAAAGTACTGTAAATTTTAACTGATAAAGTGGATAACATGGAATATGTTAATAAATCATGTTTGCTTCAAAGAACATTTTACTATTTTAGCTTTTTTTTTTTTTAATTTTACTTTAAGATCTGGGATACAGGTGTAGAATATGTGGGTTTGTTACAAAGGTATACATGTGCCACGGTGGTTTGCTGCACCTATCAACCCATCATCTAGGTTTTATGCCCTGCATGTATTACATATTTGTCCTAATGCTCTCCCTCAACTTGTCCCCCAACACCCAACAGGTCCTGGTGTATGTCATTCTCCTCCCTGTGTCCATGTGTTCTCATTGTTCAGCTCCCACTTATGAGTGAGAATATGTGGTGTGTGGTTTTCTTCTCCTTTGTTAGTTGGCTGAGGATGATGGCTTCCAGCTTTATCCATGCCCCTGCAATGGGCATGAACTCATTTTCTCTTATGGCTGCATAATATTCCATGGTGTATATGTGCCACATTTTCTTTATCCAGCCTATCACTGATGGACATTTGGGTTGGCTCCAAGTCTTTGCTATTGTAAATAGTGCACAATGAACATAGATGTGCATGTGTCTTTATAATAGAATGATTTATATTCCTTTGAGTATATAACCAGTAATGGGATTGCTGGGTCAAATGATATTTCTAGTTGTATATCCTTGAGAAATTACCACAGTCTTCCACAATGGTTGAACTAATTTACACTCCCACTAACAGTGTAAAAGCATTCCAATTTCTCCACAGTCTCCCCAGCATCTACTGTTTCTTGACTTTTTAATAATCACCATTCTGAATGGCATGGAAGGTTATCTCATTGTGGCTTTGATTTAGATTTCTCTAATATTCAGTGATGATGAGCTATTTTTCATATGTTTATTGGCCACATAAATGTCTTCTTTTGAGAAGTGTCTGTTTATATCCTTCACCCACTTTTTGATGGGATTGCTTGTTTCTTGTAATTTGTTTAAGTCCTTGTAGATTCTGGATATTAGACCTTTGTCAGATGGGTAGCTTGCAAAAATTTTCTTTAATTCTGTTGATTGTCTGTTCACTCTGATGCTAGTTTCTTTTGCTGTGTAAAAGCTCTTTAGTTTAATTAAATCCCATTTGTCAATTTTGGCTTTTGTTGCAATTGCTTTCGGTGTTTTCTTCATGACATCTATGCACATGCTAATGTCCTGAATAACATTGCCTAGATTTTCTTCTAGGATTTTTATGGTTTTGAGTTTTACATGTAAGTCTTTAATCCATCTCGAATTAATTTTTATGTAAGTTTTAAGGAAGGGATCAATTTACTTTTTTGCATATGGCTAGCCAGTTTTCCCAGTAACATTTATTCAATAAGAAATTTTTTCCTCATTGCTTATTTTTGTCAGTTTTGTCAAAGATCAGATAGTTGCAAATGTGTGGTGTTATTTCTGAGGTCCATTTCTGTTCCACTGGTCTCATGTCTGTTTTAGTACCAGTGCCAAGCTGTTTTGGTTACTGTAGCCTTGTAGTGTAGTTTGAAGTCACATAGTGTGATGCCTCCACCTTTGTTCTTTTCATTTAAAATTGTCTTGCCTACATGGGTTCTTTTTAGGTTTCACATGAAATTTAAAGTATTTTTCTAACTCTGTAAAGAATGTCAATGGTAGTTTGATGGGAATAGCATTGAATCTATAAATTACTTTGGGCAATATGATCATTTTCACAATATTGATTTTTCCTATCCATGAGGGTAGGAATGTGGGCATTTAGTGCTATAAATTTTTCTCTTAATGTTTTAGTTGTGTACCAGAGATTCTGATATGTTTTCTCTTTGTTCTCATTGGTTTAAAAGAAATTCTTGATTTCTGCCTTAATTTCATTATTTAATCAGGAGTCGTTCATAAGTAGGTTGTTCAATTTCCATGTAGTTGTGTGGTTTTGAGTGAGTTTCTTAATCCTGAGTTCTAATTTGACTACATGGTGGTCTGAGAGACTGTTTGGTATGATATCAGTTCTTTTACATTTTTTGAAGAGTGTTTTATTTCCAATTATGTGGTCCATTTTAGAATAAGTTCCATGTGGCACTGAGAAGAATATATATTCTGTTGATTTGGGGTGGAAAGTTCTATAGAGGTCTATTAAGTCCACTTGATACAGAGCTGAGTTCCAGTTCTTAATATACTTATTAATTTTCTGTCTCGTTGATCTGTCTAGTATTGACAGTGGAATGTTAAAGTCTCCCATTATAATTGTGTGGGGGTCTAGATCTCTTTGTAGATCTCTCAGAACTTGTTTTATGAATCTGGGTGCTCCTGTATTGGGTGCATATATATGTAGGATAGTTGGTGCTTTGTCTTGCATTGATTTCTTTATCATTATGTAATGACCTTTGTCTTTTTTGTCTTTGTTGCTTTAAAGTTTGTTTAATCAGAGGCTAGCATTACCAACTCTGCTTCATCTTTTTTTTTTTTTTCCATTTGCTTGGTAAATTTTTCTCTATCACTTTATTTTGAGCTTATGTATGTCTTTGCACGTGAGATAGGTCTGCTGAATACAGCACATCAGTGGGTCTTGACTCTTTATCCAATTTGCCAGTCTGTGTCTTTTAATTGAGGCATTTAGCCCATTTACATTTAAGGTTAATATTGTTATATGTATATTTGATCCATTCATCATGATGCTAGCTGGTTATTTTGCACACTAGTTTATGTAGGGTCATTGGTCTTCATATTTTGGTGCGTTTTTGGAGTGGTTGATACTGGTTTTTCCTTTCAATATTTAGTGCCTCCTTCAGGAGCTTTTACAAAGCAGGCCTCGTAGTGACAACTCAGCATTTGCTTGCCTGGAAAGGATTTTATTTCTCCTTTGCTTATGAAGCTTAGTTTGGTTGAATATAAAATTCTAGGTTGAAAATTAATTTCTTTAAAAATGTTGAATATTATCCCCTACTCTCTTCTGGCTGTAGTGTTCCTGCTGAGAAATCCACCATTAGTCTGATGGCGTTCCTTTTGTAGATGACCTGGCCTTTCTTTCTGGTTACTCTTAACATTTTTTTTTTTTCTTTATTTCAACATTGGAGAATCTGATGATTACGTGTCTTGTGGTTGATTTTCTCTTGGAGTATCTTTGTGGAGTTCTATGTATTTCCCGAATGTGAAAGTTTGCCTGTCTTGCTAGATTGGGGAATTTCTTCTATATAATATACTGAAGTGTTTTTCCAACCTGGTGCCAGTCTCCCTGTCTCTTTCATATACTCCAATCAATCATAGGCTCAGTCTTTATACATAGTTCCACCATATTTCTTAGAGTCTTTGTTCCTTTTTATTCTTTTTTCTCTAATCTTGTGTGCATGACTTATTTAAACAAGGTGGTCTTCAAACTCTGATATTCTTTTTCTGCTTGATCATTTTGACTATTGATACTTACGTATGCTTCACAAAGTTCTTTTGCTGTGTTTTTCAGCTTCATCAGGTCATTTGTGTTCCTCTCTAAACAGGTTATTCTAGTTGGCAGCTCCTGTAACTTTTTATCAAACTTTTTACCTTCTTTGCATTGACTTAGAACATGCTTCTTTACCTCAGTGGAGTTTGTTACTTCCCACATTTTGAAGCCTACTTCTGTCAATTTGTCCATCTCATTTTCTGTCCAGTTTTGTGGCTATGTTGGAGAGATATAGTGATCCTTTGGAGAAGAGAGAGATTCTGGCTTTTGGAATTTTTATCCTTTTTGCACTGGCTTCTCCTCATCTTCATGAATTTATCTACTTTTGATCTTTTAGGGTGATAACCTTCATATGGGTTTTTGTGTATGTGTGTGGGGGTGAATCTTTATTGTTGTTGTTGCTTTTCATTTGTTAATTTTACTAACAGTCAGGCCTTCTTCTGCAGGTCTGCTGCAGTTTACTGGAGGTCCACTCAGACGCTGTTTGCCTGGATATCACCAGTGGAGGCTGCAGAACAGCAAAGACTGCTGCCTGCACCTTCTTCTGGAAGCTTCATTCCAGAAGGACACAAGCTGGGTGCCAGCCGGAGCTCTCCTGTATGAATTGTCCGTCAACCCCCATTAGGAATTCTGTCAAAGTCAGAAAGCACAGGAATCAGGGACCTGCTTAAGAGGAATACAACTAACAAAGGATATAAAGGACCTCTTCAAGGATAACTACAAACCACTGCTCAAGGAAATAAGAGAAGACACAAACAGATGGAAAAACACACCATGCTCATGATAAGAAAAAATCAATATCATGAAAATGGCCATACTGTCCAAAGTTATTATTATTATTTTTTTGAGACAGAGTCTAGCTCTGTCACCAGGAGCCAGGATGGAATATAATGGCATGATCTTGGCTCACTGTAACCTCTGCCTCCCACGTTCAAGTAAATCTCCTGCCTCAGCTTCCCGAGTAGCTGGGACTACAGGTGTGTGCCACCACGCCCAGCTAATTTTTGTATTTTAGTAGAGACAGGGTTTTACCATGTTAGCCAGGATGGCCTTGATCACTTGACCTTGTGAGCCTCCCACCTCAGGTCCCAAAGTGCTGGGATTACAGGAGTGAGCCACTGCATCTGCCTGCCTAAAGTAACTTATAGATTAAACACTATCCCCATCAAGCTACCAATGACCTTCTTCACAGAACTGGAAAAAACCACCTTAAACTTCAGATGGAATCAAAAGAGAACCCACATAGCCAAGACAATCCTAAGCAAAAAAACAAAGCTGGAGGCATCACACTACCTGAAGTCAAACTATACTACAAGGCTACAGTAATCAAAACAGCACGGTTCTGATACCAAAGCAGAGATATACACCAATAGAACAGAACAGAGGCCTCAGAGGCAACACCACCCATCTACAACCATCTGTTCTTTGACAAACCTGACAAAAACAAGCAATGGGGAACCTGTTTAATAAATGGTGTTGGGAAAACTGGCTAACCATGTGCAGAAAGCAGAAACTGGACCCCTTCCTGACACCTTACATTAAAATTTACTCCCTATGGATTAAAGACTTAAACATAAGACCTAACACCATGAAAACCCTAGGAGAAAACCTAGGCAAAACCACTCAGGATATAGGCATAGGCAAGGCATTCATGACTAAAACACCACAAGCAATGGCAACAAAAGCCAAAATAGACAAATGGGGCCTAATTAAACTCCAGAGCTTCTGATAAGCAAAAGAAACAATCATTAGAATGAACTGGCAACCAACAGAATGGGAAAAAATTTTGCAATCTACCCATCTTACAAAGGGCTGATATCAAAATCTACAAAGAACTGAAACAGATTTACAAGAAAATGACAAACAAACCCAACCAAAAGTTGGCAAAGGACATAAACAGACACTTTTCAAAAGAAGACATATATGAGACCAACAAAGATGAAAAATGCTCATCATCACGGGTCATTAGAGAAATATAAATCAAAACAACATTGAAATACCATTTCACCAGTTAGAATGTCAATCATTAAAAAACCTGGAGACAACAGATGCTGGAGAGGATGTGGAAAAATAGGAACACTTACACACTTTTGGTGGGAGTGTAAATTACTTTAACCATTGTGGGAGACAGTGTGGCAATTTCTCAAGGCTCTAGAAATAGAAATTCCATTTGTTCCAGCAATGCCATTACTGGGTATATATCCAAGGGATTATAAAACATTCTATTATAAAGACACATGCACATGTATGTTCACTGTGGCACTGTTTACAATAGCAGAGACCTGGAACCAACCAAAATGCCCACTAATGATAGACTGGAGAAGGAAAATGTGGCACATATACACCATGGAATAGTATGCAGTCATAAAAAACAATGAGGTCGTGTTCTGGATGAATCTGAAAAACATCATTCTCAGAAAATTGACACAAGAACAGAAAATCAAATGCTACATGTTCTCACTCATAGGCAGGTGTTGAACATTGAGTACACATGTACACAGTGAGGGAGGCATCACTCACTGGGTTCTGTTCATGGGGGATAGGGAAGGGATAGTGAGGGGTGGGGAGGTTGGGGAGAGATAACATGGGGAGAAATGCCAGATATAGGTGATGGGGATGGAGGCAGCAAACCACATTACCATGTGTGTACCTATGCAAAAATCCTGCATGATCTGCACATGTACCCCAGAACCTAAAGTACAATTAAAAAAAAAAAAAAAAGGAAGGCAGTCTGTTTCTTAGTAGAACTTGTGCACTGTGCTGGGAGAATCCCCCTTGTCAGGATCAGCCACTCTCTTCAGGTCTTGCAGGCAAGAAAGATTAATTCTGCTGAATCTAAGACTGCAGCTGTCTCGCCTTCCAGATCCTCTGTTCCAGGAAGATTAGAGTTTTGTCTGTAAGACCCAGACTGGAGTTGCTGAATTTTCTGCAGAAATGCCCTGCCCAGTGAAGAGGAATTAGAGGAGCAGTCTGGCCACAGTCATGTTGCTGCACTGTGGTGAATTCTGCCAAATTCAGACCTCTCAGTCTCCTTAGCACTGTCAGGAAAAAAAACACTTACTAAAGCCACAGTAATGGAAAACACCCCTCCCCTCACCAAGTTCCATCCTCCCCGGCCAACTCCAGACTGCTGCGCTGGCAATGAGAATTTCAAGCCAGTAGTTCTTAGTTTGTTGGACTTAGTGAAAGTGAAACACACTGAGACCACTTGGATCCCTGGCTTCAGCCCTTTTTCCTGGGAAGTGGGTGGTTCTCCTGTCTCACTGGAGTTCCAGGTACTGCTGGAGAATGAAAAAAAAAAAAAAAAAAAAAAAAAAAAAAAAAACTCCTACAGCTCAGTGTCTGCCCAGTCATCCAGTTTTGTGCTTGAAACCCAGGGTGATGTAGGCTCATGAAGGAATCTTCTGATCTGTGGGATTCAAAAATCCATGGGAAAAGTGTAGTACTCCAGGTGGGTAGCACAATCCCTCATTGCTTCCCATGGCTTGGGGAGGGAAGTCCCCTGGCTCCCTGCACTTCCCAGGTGAAGTGCTGCTCCACCCTGCTTCTGCTCTCTCTCCATGAGTTGCAACCACTGTTTAGCCAGTCCCAATGAAATGAACTAGGTACCTCAGTTGGAAATGCAGAAATTGCCCACCTTCTACAGTGGTCTTGCTGGGAGCTACAGACCAGAGCTGTGTCTGTTTAGCCATCTTGGCCTCTCCCTCCTGAAAACCTTGCTTTTCTAATTGACAGATTTTATTTTAAATGATGCAGTCAAAAAAGTGATATATTGTCTTAGTGGCTTCATGAGGGAGAAAAATGCCTGCAAAGCTTTGAATCAATTCAAACATTTCAACTCTTGCTTTAGAGTGATGTCTGTGTTAACAGATAATTTACTTATGTAACTGACACAAATCTTCTCTATCAAATATCAATGGAAGCATTTAACCATGAAAAAAAGGGATTTATGTACTTTCATATCCATACATTTGGACAGCCAATGTTAAACATTTATTTTTGATACATTAAAGAGTTATAAACATATGCTTTTATGTAGTTTCATGCTATATGTAGAAAACCTAAAGATTTTCATTACCTTATTCCCCAATAAGGTTCTGAAGTTTTTCTATTACTAGATAAATTTATATCAGAATGTCATGTAACTAAATTCTGTCCCAAAGAATATGGGAAGAAGTTATAATAGGACATTTATGGGCCCCAAAGTAGTCTGTAGTGTTCTTCTCCAAGCACTCTCCCAATCTGCAAGTTAAACACAGAGAAGGAGGAGGCTCCACAAGTGGAATAACCACGTGGATAAAGGAGTCAGGATTACTAAATTGCTATGTCCTGGAAGCTCACAAAACTGTATGGGACCAAGGCCCAAGTGAGAAATGTTAGGTATTGATTATGCAATAGTCAGTCTACCCAGACTAATACAAGAGCTAACTCATGGTTTCTGTCTCCAGCTTCTATGCTTCTGTCATCTCAATGGCTTTCATAGTCATAAGGATTGTGAATAGGTGTTGGTCTTGGCAAACCCAAAGCTCATGATCCATAATACCCAAGATTTCAGGGGTAATTATAGTATGTGTTTTAGAACATCTGCAAACCTTTCTAAGAATGATTTTGTACAATATTATTTTATTATAAGTGGAATTTTTTTCTTAATTTTCTTTTTAGGTGTTCATTGTTAGTGTACAGAAATGCAACTCATTTTTGTATGTTGATTTTGTTTCCTATAAATTTCCAGAGATCATTTATTAGTTGTAACAGGTTTGTGTGTGTGTATGTGTGGGTAGTCTAGGGTTTTCTATATATAAAATCATGTTATCTGCAAGCATAGATAATTTAGTTTTTCTTGCTTATTTGGATGCATTTTATTTATTTTTATTGTCTATTTATTTGGCTAGGATATCCTATACTATGTGAGAGTGAGCATCAGTAATTAAAACAGAATAATACTGGCATAAATACAGAAAGACAGACACATATAGTAATGAAACAAAAAAGAAGGCCTAGAAATAGACACACACATACAGTAAACTAATCATTGATGAGGGTACCAAAAACACAAAAGGCCACATGTGAAAGAATATAACTGAACTCCTATCTTATACTGTACATAAAATTTAAATAAAAATTAATTAAAGCCTTAAACATAAAACTCCTG